ACCTCTGGCAGTATTTTGGCACAACAGGGTGCTGAGCAGAACCCCACTGTCTTGGCAGGGCTTACAACGAGCTGGTCCCTCCTGCCCAGCAGAATTCTTAAAGCCCCTCTTAGAAATAAATGAAGTCCTAAGCCAGTTCCCTGGTGACTTTTTCCAGAAGATCTGGTGAACCTGCTAGCATCTTCCCTTCTCTCCTTCCCCTCCCCTGCCCCCCTTCCCTCCCCTACCTTTAACCACCTTCCGATATGGTTCATTTATCTCTCAAAGGCACCCAATGCCTTTACCTGCACTGTGCTTCTCTCTGACCTGCTGTGCATGATGTAAAGCTGGGGTGCTCTGGTGTAGAGTTTGATCAAATCAGAAATACATTGGTAAATTGCTAAACAATTTGGAAAATTATAATACTACATATTTTTAACACATATTGAGTATAATCAGTTATTGCCTGCTTGCTTTAAGTTGAGTTTATTTTATTTATAAGCCTGCATGTAGATTCAGACAGAAACATTTTCAAGCTATAAGCTGGCCTTTAAAAATGAGAAAAGAAGTATGAATCAAGTATTTCTGTATGTTAGCCTACTTGTACAGCTACAAAGAATACTCTGGAATGTTCCTTGGTTTCGGAAATTACTTCACTTTATAACATCCCACACTGATACGTGTTTTTTGTACACCTAAATCTCTTTCCTGGAGCATGTGAAGGTTCATATGAAAATGCCAACACATCCACATCCACATCCGTTACATGAAATCTGGAAAGGCAAATATTCAATGCAGCAGGGCTCTTAGGTAGCTTTTAAATCAAACTTAGTGGGACTGTTTATACATTTATGTTTTAGGCATATACTTACACTTTAGGCACATACTTATATTTCATGCTGAATTGGGGCTGTAACTTCTTGTATTCCATTTCCAGAATGACTAAATATTAGAAACATGTAAATGCATTCAACTGTGCACTCAAAGCAAATAAATAGAAGAATAAATAAATAAATTCCAGGTTATGCATCCAGAATTACTGAGAACAGCCCCACCTTGATGACAGCATAATGACTTTAATATTATGAAGGAAAGCAAAATTATTTCTTAGAATGTTTGAAAGAATTAACTCAGGTTTTCTTAAACTTATATGTAATATTTAGAAATATGTCAGTTACCTTTCATGTGGCTTCACAGTGTGCATTTAAAAATATAATCAAATATGGGCATAGTAAATAACAAAGGATAGCAGAAGATATGGACATACGGGAAGACTTTATACAATACTGACAACACTCTCACTGCCATTTTGCGTGTTCTGTAAAAAACTAAAAGCAACCAAGCACATCACACTTTAGGATATATGAGAAAAGCTTTTGTAGAATGCCTAAGAGGATATTAACATGCCCTGTGACACTGTCTTCAAGATGTAATTAAGAATTTTCAGAAGTTTGAAGAAAATTAAAAGTCCCATTTCCTCCACCTATTAAAAGTATTTCAAGCTAAGCAAAAAAATAGTAAAACAAAGATTCAGCCACAGCACAGTGTCACAGCTGTGACACTGCTTTGCACTGTTCTCTATATAGAAGTTATGGACTTTTCCAAGATATTGCTTTTCTTCATGGAGAAGAAGTCTAAGGGACCATTTTAAATTAATGTGTGAACACAGGATGTTTCTATTTGCAAACGTATTTATAAATACTAACAACCCACAGGACTCAATGGTATTCATCCCAAAATTTTAGAGGAACTCAAAGGAGCACTTGTTACTTCCTTTTTTGGTTACTCTCATTCTGTTTCTACAACTGACAAACTACAGGATGGATAGATGCAATATAACTGTTCATATGTACTTAAGAGGAAGGAATCCTTTTGTTTGTATGATGAGTTTCAGCAAGGCAGTACCTGAACTTGCTGGGAGACTGCTAAATGGTCCTATGAGCCAATCAGAACATGGTTATATATATATATATTTATTTATTTATTTTAATTTTTTTTTTTTTTTTTCAAATCCTTATCATAATCCCCAAAAGAAACTAAGAACCTTAATGAACACAGGATGTTTCTATTTGCAAACGTATTTATAAATACTAACAACCCACAGGACTCAATGGTATTCATCCCAAAATTTTAGAGGAACTCAAAGGAGCACTTGTTACTTCCTTTTTTGGTTACTCTCATTCTGTTTCTACAACTGACAAACTACAGGATGGATAGATGCAATATAACTGTTCATATGTACTTAAGAGGAAGGAATCCTTTTGTTTGTATGATGAGTTTCAGCAAGGCAGTACCTGAACTTGCTGGGAGACTGCTAAATGGTCCTATGAGCCAATCAGAACATGGTTATATATATATATATTTATTTATTTATTTTAATTTTTTTTTTTTTTTTTCAAATCCTTATCATCATCCGCAAAAGAAACTGAGACACTTAAGAGCTTAAATGGGCAGAAATATGTCACCTAGATCAACCTAATAAATACATATAAAAGCACACCAGAAGTAGATAAGGGGATAAGATGGAGTTAACTAATACTGGGCCCTTAATGGACACTTTCAGACTCAGTTATATCTAAGAATCTATGTTATGGTCTTCAGGGTCTATATTTTAGCACCCAGCTCCAGTTTGAGGCTTTCTTTACAGTGCAAAATTAAATGTTCTTTAGTACTACTGCTAAAAAATCCTCTAGGCACTGCCCTCTCCCACAGATCTTCAAGGATGCAGCAGGGAGACACAGCAGAAGTCAAACCCTTCTCTTCAGTACAGTCTTGCCTCTTCCATCTGACTGAGTTATCTCTGCCCCTTCCAAGGCTGCCAGAGTGCCAAATGCCTGGGTTTGTTGTTGCTCCAGTCTCTTTTCCATGCCTGTTCCCTGTGGAGGCATCAGTGGTGTCAATATCTGCTGAGGCTCAACACAGGCAGGTCAGGTTGCTGGGAACAGAAGATCAAGGCAGCAACCTTGCTGTGCAGCAACAGCAGAGTGCACAGGATGTGGCACCTCTGTAATTTCTCTGTGTTTGGCCAGCAATTTTGTCCAAAAACTGTCCCACTTGCATGGGAAAGAGATTAAGTGACTTGTGTGCCAAACACCGCAGACATCACTGTATATACCATGTGGAAGAGGCAAGTTTGGGGTTTGGCACTAGTCACAGGCTAAATGTGCTCGCAGGCATGTCTTCCAAGCAAGACCTGAGAAGGGGGTTCTTACGTTATTTCAGGTTTTCTTATCAAAGTGTAATCCCCTGGTAATAGGTGCAGCAATCACACATAATGTGCTTGCAATGAAGCCCTGTGCTCTGGTGGTCCTGTTAGTGAAAGTGCTGGAGTGTTTACATGGCTCTGGATCCAGGGAAGCAAACCCAAAGCCTGATTTGCACACTGTATAGCTAGAGAAAAGAATTTTCAAATATAGAAGGCAAAGGCTGAAGGAGGGTATTCACTGTCAGTAACGAGAAACAGATCAGGAAGGCATTATTTACACTTGATAAATCAGAAATGGCATGGAAGAGAGCTGGTATTACAAACTATTAATGAAAGGCGTAATAATGAAACAAATCACATAATACATCACAACAAAGTGATTCAATGTAATGAATACTGATACTAAGTAAGTGAACTGTGCACTCTGGGGATCCGATTTCAAATCCATTCCAGTGCCCCTGGCAGCAGTGTGAGTGAAAAGAGCACTTTTAGAAGAAACCTGCTCTGATCACATCCACACCTCACATTAGCTCTCTCTTTGATGACGTGTAAGGTAGATAAAAATGAGATTACCTGCCAAAACCCATTATATGCATTTATTATTTTTTTGTACCAAGATAACAACTGAAATCTCATCACCCATGCAGATATCAGCCAACACTCCTCAGAGTAATGTGAGTAAATAAGTATTAAACATTTTAAAAAGACAAGCGATGTTTCATCAGCACAGACTACAAACTAATTTAATTCATATACAGGTCTAAAATTGAGATTGTCATCCAGATTTTAAGTTTTTGAAGTATTAAAGGTGGAGCCTTTGATGAAGCAGAGGGATGCCCTATGTAGCTTGTATACAATATTTGTATTCTGATCACACACATGAAACTTCAGGTGGCATGCAACTCATTATTTCATTTCAGACTCATCTGTATTCTGAACCATTTCTGAATCGATTTTGGCAATGTCAAAGCCTACCAAACCAAAAATTATTTTGTGCATTTATAGCTAAATATGTTTCTATTTATTGTGCATTAAAAAAAAAAAAAAAAAAAAAAAAAAAAAAGGTTATTTTTGAAGTAAAGGCATTCACACTTATTATCAGCTAGGTAGCTAAGAATGGTGGCTGCAAAAGTCATCAGGCTGAGCAGGAGCTGCCTAAGCCTCCAGTAAGCCATTGCAATGGTACTGATAACAGCCTCTCTTAAGAGATCTTTGAATCTAAAGGTTCTCAGCTGAGGTTCTGGCTCAGCTACAAGGTTTTACAATCAAATGTCAGTGGGAGGCTTACTGACACAGGGTGAACTCCTGAATAACAAATTATTACTCTCTGACATGGTCTTATAGAAAAAGGAAGCAATATATGGTAAGGCTGAAGAGTTGTGCAGCTTGTTTGGAAAATGATTTTGAGAAAATCTAACTTTTAATAAAGGTTGAAATTGAGAAAGATTTCTCAAATTAATAAATATTGACAGATTTGACCAAAGAGCTAAATTTAACTTACCCAGAAATTGTTACTGAAACAAAACTGTTTGAGCATGTTGCTACAGATGTCTACCGTTATGAATGCTCAGATCCATAGATCCATGCTACAGATTCAAATTTCTGTTTTCTAAATTTCAGTCATGCAAAATTTTGGAGCACTCTAATAGGATTAGAATGCAATGTGCATGTTTAATCTACTGTGATGTTTTTAATGCATTGTTTTGACATTCCTTCACAGTAATTACAATACCTTCAGAACTGTAAAATACAAGTAAATCAAATTAGCATGAATTTGGAGAAGCAACACACTCAGAAAGAATCAGAAATCAAGCAGCTATAGATAAAGTTGCACTACAGTGCGTCCATCATTTTCATCCTCAGCAAGCCACCTTGAGGAAAAAAAAATAGAAGCCTGTCAGAGATACAGCACATATAAAACTTAATAAAGCCATAAACTGTGAGAGCCTCCTTTTGTGCCTTTGAATTTCTAGAAGAGTTTTTACGTTGATTATGCATACAAAAGCAGTAACCAACCTGAAGAAAATAGTGATTTATATTTTTCTTTTTTAGTATTCATACATGCATAATTTAAAAGTGAAATTAACTTTATAACTACATTTATGAAATACATGTTCATTTTATTTGTTGGCCATATAGTTGACGAGAAGATTGTTTCATTGAGTGGCATAAAATCTGGATAATTTAGAGCAAGGAAGCCTGTTCTGTGATAGCAAGTTATTGTCCATGTATTTCATTTCAGAAACTGTTTATTTCTCCTATCTCCTTGTTGGCTCACAAAATACTGAGTTGTATGGTGGTCCTGAACCCTGCTCTGTAACATCCTATGGAGGTTTTGGTCTTGACTATGTGGGAGACAAGCCTGACTCTAAAGCTCAGGCAGATTGATGTTAACTGGAAACATGGAGGCAATTATATTAATTTCCAAAGATAATTAAAAAGCTTCTAACATTTTTGCAAGGCTTATGATGGACTGGCTGATGTGTTGTCTACTAAGGAGTTAGTATGGGAGGGATTCCCAGCTGGTATAGCCCTACTGTAGCTCACAACTGAAGTTACACCATTGAAGAGCTGGGAGATATGGTTGAAGCTAAACAGTTCCAGGCTGAAACATGACTAATCTTGACAGATGAAATTGCTCATGGACTTCTCAGAGCCAAAGAAAGGTGTGAAATGTAAGCTAGACAACAGGCATTTTAATTATGAAAGGATGCTTCATCCTGGCTCAAACCAGGACACCATCTCATAATTTCATAATAATTCTCAATAATTAATATCTTTTAAAGACAGCATTTTTATCAGGAGTCTTTTCTTTGTGAGAAAAGGAACCCATTCTCTAGTTACATTGCAGGTCATGAGATAAGAGGGTCCATGTCTGAGATAGAACAGGGATATGAACTGACAGCTTTCTGTATCCGAGGAGTGCCCGATAGCCTGTGGGTCACTGGTTACTCTGGAGTGCCCCTCCAAATCTCTTTTAGAGAAATTGTTCTATTTTGAGTAAGTAGGTATACATTAAGGTAAGGACATGACTCTAATCCACCAAGGTCCCTGCCAATGCCCTAGTTACCAATACCCTAGTCAGCAGTCTGTATAATCAATCTGTGACAGTCACTCTGCTACATCAATGATGTGATTCAAGTTCTTGCTCCAAATGAGTCTCTTACATACCTTTGTGTTTTTACCATAACACTTTATATAAATGGGGGTGGGTGGGGGGTGGGGGGGGGTGGAATCTCTGGAAAAAAAAGTTTGTTACAAACTTTTTTCCAAGAATCTTCCCCTGACTGGTGTGGCCTGAGAACTCTTACAAGCAAAAGAGGTGGAGTGACATCAACTGAAAATCCTATTATGGATTTTATTGCACACTCGAGTGATATTGTTGTCTAAGGACTTTTGCCCACTAACCTAAACTTAGGTATCCAGAAGATGAGACTGAACTTGAGCATGTGTTTGGAAGAAGTTTAATGAAGGGAAGTTTAATTTTGTTGGAAGAAGTTTATGTTCTTGAGTTTTGTAACAGCTACACACTCTCATGGATTAGACTAAAAACTTGCTTTTTAGGGTTCAGGACTGGAGTTTGGCTTCCATGAATTGTCGAGTTTACAGAGACATTTAAAGGAAGGATAAAATTAATGTAATTGGCTACCATTTCTGTTTTTAGACCAACAGGGCACATCCCTTTTTTTAGATATAGGGAACTTGTAAGGTTTCACACTTGTCTGTTCTCCAGATGCATTATTGCATAAAAATGTATTTTATACTTAGAAAGACACGAATGTGTGCATTTCTGTTGTTTACTCTGAAGTGCTTTAAAGTGTAAAATGTATCCTGTAGTGAACAGTCACTCCAAACGTATCTTTCAGTTCTGTTTCCAACTTCTGAAGATGTATTGCTTCAGCTTGTTGCAGACTCAGAAGGATTTTCTTTTTGTATATTAGAACCCCTTTATCCCAGCACCTCTTTATCCAAATAAATGTTTGAATTTATACCATTATCCTCTCACATTACCTTGTAAAAAAGGTTTATTTTATCCTCACCCCATTTGCTGAACATCTGAGACCCATACTAAGCAGACATTGAAACAGAAGGATCTTAATATTGCTTTTGCACAATAAAATAAAACACTCTTCAGATTTGTATCTATACTGCCATATCCTACCATCCTCCCACCATCCTATAATTCTGATGCCATGCCAGCTTGCATACCCATTATGTGTTTGTCAGATACACATATGCACTAATACTTGTGTAATGGTTCACCAGACGGCTTCTACCTCTTGAAAATAGCACACTGATGTCTTCTCTTGGCAAAGGCACTAAACTGTGTCTCTTCTTCCTAGAGTCACCCAGGTTTAATAACTTGAAAAAATATACAGTGTCTCCTAAATATTCTTCTGACAAATTAGTTTGAACTTGGCCAAAGGGTTCAAAAGCTACTTAGGGTGGACTGATAGGAACAGAGAATGGTTGAGAAACTTTTACTGGTTTAGGAGACCAGAAGAGAAATAACTGAGATGCTACAAAGACTACTACTAATTCCTGTTAAAAGGAAAACAGCAACTACAGATGATGAGTTGATCTACTGACCTGTTACAATTGAAGCAATACAATGAATTCTGAGATGCATCTGTGATTTCTACTTTTTCCAGAAACCAGCCACTTGCTGCAGAAGGAAAAAAGAGCAAATTTAATATGAGCAAAACACAAATAAAACATAAGAAAGGTTTCTGATTTCATTTCTAAATCCTTCAATATCAGTAATAAAACTGAAATGTAGATAACGAAAATTACTTCCAACCTCTCTCAGTTTTACAGAGAAGGTCTTTGATGTTTTTGACAGAAAGATAAGGAAAGATTTTTATTTTAACTCATTTTTCCACATTGAACAGAACAGGCAGGAAGACAAATGAAACAGTGTGTGGTAATATTGAATACATTCTCAAAATCCCATTTTGCCCTCCTTGATACACTGAAGGTCACCCTGGTGAGCTTTGATTTTCAGCGTGCACCAAACAATAAAAACAGACTTTATCAATATACGTAATTTTTGTAATGATAACCCAAGCCCTTAAACAATAGGAAAACCAAAATTCTGTAATTTCTTTTTACTTAATATATTTATATACATCAAATGCTGAATCTGAGTGCTGCTCATATCCATATTTCTGCTGCAGAGTGATTCAGAACAGCATTTCCATTTAGGCCAACACTCATATCTGTTTTAGCTTTAAGAATGTATTTAATATCTGCTATAGTCTCCTGTTTTGCTGTGTGAAAAAAACCTTTGTTATTCTTCAGGAAAACTTTATTTCATATAATATTAAAGTATTAATATTTTTTAAAAACTTTATTAAAGAAACACAATGTTTGTGCTGGCATCTTTAGTTCTGTTTGCGAATAGAAATACTTAATGACAACATTTAAAAAATAATTAGGATCATACTGTTGAAAAACTTTTGTTATTCTTTGCATGTCCAAGAGATAAAATACTATATTCCGACAAATTATTTTGGTTTTCAAATATTTGAACAAAGTACTAAGTAGGCTAAAACCTATACAAATATTTGTTAGTAGGAAAAATATATTAAAATATTTGCAAAATACAGCACTTTAAGTAAAACATAAAGGCATAGTGATGTTTCTCTCTTTTTAGGGACATTTTCAAAGAATTAGCTAATATAACTGTGCCATAAAGGTGTCTGCATTTTTCCTCTTCAATCCACAAGAGTCATTTCTTCATATTGTGAGGTACTTTCGGAACTCCTTTAATGAAATCTTATGAATGGTTTAATATATCATAGAGTCTACTTGGAAATTATGACCTTTCATGAAATCTCTGTAATCCAGTGTCAAGATTATCAGCAATAAAAATATACAGTCTCTCCAATTTACATGGCACTTTACAAACGAATACAAAGGCATATTTGCTCTCCTTAAATGTTTAAAATCTAATGCTTTATCCTTTATTGACAAAACTATGACAGACCTCCCTGAAATTCTCCAGGTATAGAGATATCTGGAAGTAGCTAGGAAAGATTAGCAAACAGATGAAACATTTCAAAGAGGTATAACATTTGAGGATGCTTGTGAGAGTTACATCTGATGTGACAGAACTTACTTGGAAATAATTTCAGAGAAAAATTTAGCGGAAGGTAGTAATAGATGTAAGATGAATCAATACACACTAGCTGTGCTAGGAAGGCAATATTAACTGCTAAGAAATGTTGACCAGGACACAGAGAGGAGCATAAGAGCATCTCCCTGATGAAAACAGGCTGAGAGAGTTCGGGTTGTTCAGCCTGAAGAAGAGAAGACTGTTGGGGGATGTTATAGCTGCCTTCCAATACCTGAAAGAAGCCTATAAGAGGGCTGAGGAAGACCTGTTCACTAGGAAATATAACAATAGGACAAGGGGTAATGTTTTCAAGCTAGAGAAGGGCAGATTTAGGTTCGACATCAGGAAAAAGTTCTTCCATATGAGGGTGGCAGATCACTGGAATGGGTTGCCTAGAGAGGTGGTGGAGGTCCCATCCCTGGAGACATTCAAGGTCAGTCTTGTTGGGGCCCTGAGCAATCTGTTCTAGTGTGAGATGTCCCTGTTTATTGTAGGGGGGTTGGACTAGATGACCTTTATAGGTCCCTTCCAACCCAAAACATTCTATGATTCTATGATAATTACGTTGTTGATAGATCGGGACACAGGAAATACAAGTTCAAGCTGTATTTCCCCAGCAGGCTTCTGTTCAACACTCAGAGTGCTAAAAGTCTGTGGGTGTGGAGTTTCAAATGAGATGAAAGTCAGCAGGAGGACTGTATGATTATAGGTATTTCCAAATGTTTGGCGATTTTCTTTTTGAGTTTTCAATACCATCACATGACTGGGTATTTAGGGGAAATAAAAAAAAGAAAAAGGATAAAAGAAAAGCCTGTTCAATCATTGCATAAATAGGAACTGCTATTTGCAGAATTTTCTTGGTTCATCCTGGATGTGATAAATTCTTGCTACCCAATAGTAGCTCGTGCACTTAGATAAATCAGGTTATATTAAACCTATACCTATATCTTTCAGGTAGGTTAAGCAAAATTAATCTGACTAGAATATTTTAATACCATCAGACCTTTTGGACTCAAGTTGTACATTGCCTGCATTCTGTTTATATATTTCACAGAACCATAGAATCATAGAATGGTTTGGGTTGGAAAGGACCTTCAAGATCACCTAGATCCAAACCCCCTGCATGGGCAAGGACACCTCCCACTGTATCAGGTTGCTCAGAGCCACATCCAAACTGTCCTTGAATACTTCCTGGGATGGGGTTCTACAACTTTCCTGGGCAACCGGTTCCAGTTCCTCACCACTCTCATAGTGCAGAAATTTATTTCTGTGTCTCTAGGGCTTTTTAGCACCACTAAATGTAAGCTAAAAATATCATGTGCCCTAGGCTCCTGCATATATATATATATATGTATATAATTTTTAATTCAGAGTTTAGAGATTATGTGTAGAACACTGTCCATAGGAACAGTTTTCATTACTGTATGTGGGTGTACACTACAGCCACATCCTAACTTTACAACAGGGCAAGACCTGGGGCACAGTACTGCTCTCCTCATAGTCCGACTTCTACAAGAACAAAAGTCATCTATGAGTCAGAGGAAGCTACAGCATGCTTTGACCAGAGACCCAGACTTGCCCAAACATCTCTCAGATAATGTTCAAATCATGGGAAGTTTAGCATGCAGTTTGAAAATTCAATTCTCTGTTATTTAGACATGTAATAGGAGTTTTGGCTGAGCAATATTTGAAGGACAAAACCTTTTGAGGTTTATGCTAAATAGATCCCTTCACTGTTAGAAAAAAAAAAATCAAGGTAAAGTCAAGGTAGATGTGATCCAGACATAAATGGTGTAAGCAAGAGCAGTCAAACTTACTCATTTGTATACAGATTTATATTAGCTAGCTGTAGCAGTACCATGACTTCAAAAAACATTCCAAATGTCAGGCAGATCTTTAGCCAGAAGATTTTTACAAGGTTATTGAACGCATGCAGCATACTTACCAAATCCTTTCCCATCGTGACCAATTTCAATTGAATGTAGGCCTTCTAATCTTTTTGTCTTAATCTTGAATGTATCAACCTGTAATATTAACATACAGTTATTAAAAATAATATACCAATGCCTGGAGAGCTATACATTTCTTTGGGTCAATTCTGAGACTAATTAAAATGTAATAATAGGAATTTTAAAAAGGGGTTTTTTTTCGTACTGAAGATCTGTGATATAAATTATCTCCATTTAAACATGAAAGATTAACTTCTCAACATATAGTACAGGACAATCCCTACCTCTGCCCTGACTTTCATATACCAGGAAAATATTTTTGCTCTCCTATGATTCTCAACCTACACAGACTTTTAAAATGTTTTCAGTAAATGATGCAGAAATGTAAGTTCAAGAGCATAAAAAGTAAAGACGTTCATTATATGTCGCATTAACCCTCTCAAAGATTATCTGTTTTAATTGAAAATATTACTTTGCTTCATATGACGGATGTTTGGTTTTTTTACGAGACCAGTTTTTCACAAGACATTTGACATCACTGGCTACCCACTGACTTAACTGGATTCCTAAAAGGAATTCTATGTACCTACTCTCCTTTTCCAAAGAGCAATCGTATCTCCTGTGACAAAAGGAAGTACTACTCAAGACACCCTCTTGCTCCTTGTGTCTGTAGGTAACTAGATTTATTAACCTCCTCACTATGGAAGACAATGTATGTGTCAGGTCAGGATATTTTAGAAATTCACATACATCTTGGCTGAAGAAACTTGGACCAACTGCAAGTAAAAAGATGCGTAGTACTGCTGGAGGTAATGAGGTAGATCTCATAAGGAAGATGTTTTAACTGGAGTTTTAATTACTCAGTCATTACCTTTCAAGAAATCCACAGGAGAAAGATATGGAAAATATATTTATTTCTTGCTACATAAGGGTAACCATCATTATACTCCCTTGCACAGGTGGTGAGCAAATGGAATAATTCCTTTCCCAGAGTAATATGTTTATGAAAGCAGGAGAACATTCTGCTAAGGTACTAGCACACCATGCAGAGAATCAGCATTCGTATGCAAATACCTGTATCTGAACTAGGGGTCTCTGAATAGCCTAAAGCTAAAGATGGATATCAGAATCAGGTTGATATGCACGGTTCCATTTCATCTGATTATAAGCTTATAAATCCAGAGAGGCTCACAGCATCAGTTTCCATGGCAAAGTAAAATGATGGGATGTAAGATGTATTCTCTAGCACAGTGTTCGAAGTTTGTGCAACAGCAAGGGATATTGCATGTGTGTGCACATGCACAGGTAATGCTTGTGCATTTCAGATCAAGGAAATGCACAGCTGGGCAGATGAGTGTATGCAATATGTTGGTATGTTTGGGACAGAAGAGCAACAGAGTAATCTAGATATTCTAGAAGTAAAATGTTCCTTGATTACTTTGGTGAAAAGGTGAAACAGACATAGCTGAGACAACGTCTCATCTAGTGATGTGAAAAGGAGGATAGAAGCCTTAAGTTCTGTAAAGATCTTGCACTGATTTAAGTTTGCTATCCCAAGCCAGAAATGGATACATCCTCTAAAATCTGTGTACTCACTTTTCCTCTTTCAAAGGGGTCGTGGTGCTCCAGTGGCTGAGAGAGCTGAATTACCTCAGATTTGTCATCAGTGCCAAATAAAATAATATGCACATTTGCATCAGTCCCTGCTCCCCTTTTGTCACCTGTGTACACTTTAATAGTATACTCTGTCAGATTTCTTTCTTGACTTCCTTCTTTATGTAAGTTGTTATCTGTATCATTCTTTTGTTCGTCTCCTCTAATAACAAAAGATACTGGGATTTCTCTCTGTATTTCTGGTTTCTTTGCATCCACAAAAAATGCCCTGAAAAACAATACCGCATATGTTTTTGTAGTGAGCAAATCAAATGTTAAATCAAAAAAAATCTTTATGTGAGACAGCTAAAGATGGACTTACTTTTTAAATACGCATTGACTGAACCACTCTGTCACAGTCATTTTAATTCAGTGCATGTGTTTCCAACTATTATACTATGAAAATGACATTAAAATTACTGGCTTTACTTAATATACTTACTCATTCACTTCAAATACATAGACAGGATGCTCCTTTACAGCTTCTTTCAAATGCAATTTTTTAATGTCCAGTTTGCAGTCTACAAAGGATATAAAGTCTAGTGAAAATGCTGTACTGGATTTCAAGGAATTAGGTAGAGTCTGTTGTTAATATAATAGTGTCACTCCTACTATATAAAAACATTTATCATTTCATTTATGAATACCAAGAATTGACTTAAAAATCCTGGAGTCATCATAACAACCCTTATTTTTTTCCTATCTGAAAACTCAGAATTTCAGGAGTAAGCATTTCCTTCGTCTTAGTGTTCTGGTTTGGTTTGGTGGGTTTTTGGTAGCGGGGGAAGGGCCCCAGGGGTGTCTCCGTTAAGAAGCTGAGAAGCTCCCCCTGCTTCCAAAACCCAGACAAGGAGCCATTAAAGGGACAACAGATGCACCTCAGTGATTAACATACGAAGTAATCAACATTAACACCTGAGCTGAGAAGCCCCTGGGGGAGAAGAGCTGTGCTGGAGGAGGAGAGTGGTGTTGGTGGTTGGTGAGGAAGAAGGGGAAGAGGGTGCCCAAGCAGAAGTTTCCCTGCAACCCATGGCGAGATGGCAGCTGTGCCCCTGCACTCATGGAGGAACGTGGTGGAACATTCCCTGAAGGTGCCAGGAGGGATGAACTTGGCCAGTGGACTTGGATTTTGTGGCCAGTGGATTTGCTGGCATTGGACTCTGATTACACAGCTGTGGAAGGCCACAGCACCAGTTTGTTCCCAAAGGAACCTGTGTCTCTGTGGGAAGCCCAGGCTGGAGCAGATCAGGACCTCGTGGGAAGGACTCACAAAGGAGAGGTTCATGAAGGACTCTCTCCCATGGGAGGGACCCCGTAAGGAAGCAGGAAAGGACTGTAAGGAATCCTTCTTCCTGAGGAGGAAAGAGCAGCAGGAACCACTAGCCTGTGAACTGACTCTAAACCCCATCCCCTGTCCCCCTGTGCCCTGGGGGGGAAGGAGGGAGAGAAACAGGGAACAAAGTGATTTGGGCCCGGGAAGAAGGGAGGGGTGGGGTAACATATGCAAGCCCTGCTCTTTGTGTGTCTGTGTCCTGGGTGTGTTTGATTAGTGTGAAATTAAATTACAATTTTTTCCCCAAGTTGAGTCTGTTTTGCCCGGGACCTAAATCGGTGAAGAACCCTCCTTGTCCTTTGTCTCAACCCAGGAGCTTTGTTCTCCTCATCCCAGGAGAGAGATAAGGATCTGTGATGCTTAGTGAAGCAAAGGAATATTGTTCCCATGGTCCTCAGACAGGCACATGGAAAAAGACTCAGCATGACTCAGGCAGGTACATTTGAGGAGTAAGAGCAGAAATAGGTATCTGATATTTCCTCCTCCATGACTGGTTGACAAGGGGGTTGGAGCTCCATTCCTCATGCAGCACAAAGAGGATCTTGAGAGATGGCAGGTATGAAGGAAGTCCAGCAACTTAGTCTCTGCTCTTTGAGAAAAATTGCCTTACACCCTTCTGAATTTTCTGCTGGGGCCTTCAGTTACATGCTATCTATCACATTGGCCTGAACCTCTTGCCACTAATAAGTCATGAAGACTGTTAATTTTCCTTTGTCTTCTATTATTTATCTCTTCAGCCTTTTTAGCAAACTGCATCCCAATGTCTTCTACTACTGCCCAAGTCTCTTAAATTCTATGAATAGAAGTGTGAGTTAATAGGCTCAGGCTTCAGGAGACAGTGTTGCACTAATGACCTGTGTGAACAGTGCATGGAGAGAGTCAGAAGATTCAAGAAGAGATTTCAAACCACCTGATCTTGAAAACCTACTCAGATACTGGAAGAAGCATAAATGCATTAGAGCAACACTCTGCCTGAGCTGACCAGTCCTGCAAGGTACATCTGACTTTATACACTAAAAAGCTTTTGTGTTTGAGGGCTTTTGATTCCAAGTCTTGGTCTAAACTAGTCTCAGTCCAAACAAGTCTAGATACAATATGGACACCCTTGCTCATCTAAAGTGCTTTATCATCTGAGTAACTCCCTTGGAAGAAATGCATTCTAGATCTGTCAAAACACTCTCTTCTTAACACACACAGAGCCAACAAGCCCCACAATTCCTCTTTTGTGAATTGCGTTTTCAAACCTGACTGGAAAAATCTTGCCAGTGGTGCTCGCTGTGGTGCCCCTTGGCAAAGTGCAATTGCCATATTCAATGACTGTCAGTTACACAGATGGATGTAGTTCACTTGCACAACTGAAGCTGTGGAAAACAGAACTAGTGAGCTACATATGCTGTGTTCCTCAACTGCAGCGTGCCTGGGCTGTCCCTCTCCTTGCCTTTCCCTCTGCAGTGGCAGCAGCTCCTCCCTGAGCTCCCTCTGAAGCCCTCAGTGGCCAAGGCAGACCATGCTGTGCTGCAGGTTGTGCTGACCAGCCAGCCAGTACCTATGTGCTGACTGGCCGTGTGTCTTTGACATCTATACACATTTGGTTGAAATTGAATGGCTAAAAGGGTGTTATGAGGAGCCAGCAGAGGGGTAAAGAAAAAAGCAGAGATAAAGTGCAGACCTAGAACCTTTGTTTTCCTAGAAAGTGTGTGAAAATGGTCAACTGTAACACACAGTAAGTAACTATTTGCAATTACACAGCAAATTTCATTAAAGGGCTTAAAAAACTTTACAATTAGTTATTTGAATACTCCTTAGTAGCATGGTAGCCATCCTACAGATGAGGTGAAGATATGTTAAGGTTGTGACATTTTTAATGAAATTCAGTGACAAAACTCCTGGTTGGCAAATAGGGGTAAAATCCCCTTGCAAATGTCACAGGGAGAAAACAGAACAGGTGTAGAAAACAGTGAAAGTGACAGAATCACAGAAGGACAATTAAAACAGTACCAGTTTCTTATGTGAGTTATAATTATTTTCCTAGATCAGTTATTAATAGATCCTATAATAATACCAGAATATAATTATTCATCTTACTTTCTGGTTTTCTTTCTTGTATAGAAAGGAATAGTGTACTTTCTTGATGCAATAATTATATAGCTTTTAGATTAAAAGGTTTTAATGTGTAAAAATGTAGGACTTTACTTTATAAAATATTACCTTTTAGAAAAAATAACCAAAATAATTAAACACTGTATAACTCCAACAGGAATTTCATTGCCTTTACCAGGAGGTTCAGCTGACTTTAGAGAGCAGCTGAAATACTTTACCTGTTTTACTGCTGATCAAAAGAACAACTTTGTCCAGTTCTCCCAATTCAACAGCATCCACGATAACCAGAAATGACTAAAATAAAATGATGCAGTATTACAATCTTAAACTGAAATTACTTAATCATATAGGAAGATTTGAGAATAATATAAAAGAAGCACAATAATGGAATTAAGTATATATTTTATAGTACTTTAAGAAAGAGTACCTCATTGTCCTCTCCCTGCTGGACATTTTGCAATGATGAGAGAAGGGATCTGACCCCTGTGTCACCATGAGTGCCATATATACACGCTGTCATGTGCACTAAATTTCTCTCACTCAAAATATTTCTAGAAAATACTGTTAGATGATATGTAACCACTGCAATATCAAGCAGAAAAAGAGATCTTGTTAGGATTGTGCCACAACCTTGCACAGCTATTTGACAACATAGCCATGTGCAGTCGGATGTAATTAAAAATTCAAACATTTGAAAGAAAAGGTAGTGCAATTCAACTATAAACACTGGTGATGCTAACAACTTTAGATTAGATTAGAGAAAAGCTTGTGAAAAGCAAGCCTATGCATTATGCTGTTTGTAGCACTAGCATGGTATGGAAAAATTACTCCAGTCAGTTGCCTATTTAATGGCAAATGCCTAAGATAAAATTCTGTTAAGTCTAAGATTCATCAATCACTTTGGGTTCTTTACAAGGACTCACTTTAGCCAGGGAGACAAGTCCTTCAGACTTTATCATCTAAGATGTGGAGAGAGAGGGTCCTGGCATGTGATTCAGACCACCTAAGTTGCTGCTTTGAATTTTATGTGATGGAGCAAATCCACTGACTATAGATAGAGCTCAGGAAGACCAGTCTATCTCAGCTGAAGTTTCACCCCTTGTGCTGGTTTTGATTTATGCAACGATTATAGTTATTTAATTGAAGACTAGATGACAACACCTAAACACCTTTAAAATTAAGTGCATACACAGAGCATCTGTTTACATTCATTTACATTTTACTGATAGAACTAAGTGATGTGACAGTTCTGAATAATTACTTCTTTTAGTCATCTACTTATCATCTCCTTTTTACTCCTGCAGACACTCTAGTAGAAGGGGACAAATCCTGACCTTGCAGAAGACTTCTGTAGGATGTGGCTCAGAGCTTAGATCAGTCAGACACTAATCCCATACAGGACTGTGTGTATGAACAGACTACCTGCATCCTTTGGAAGTCAAGAAGACCAAGTTCAGGTAAAGCAGATAACATGAGCATGACAAAGGCACAGGCAGTGCCCTCACTGACCAGTTAACAGTCCTGCAACATGTGCATGTGTCAGGCAGAGCTGTCAACAGTCCCAGATGCAGGTGGGATGAAAAAGATGAAAAAGATCTGGGATCCATCTTAGTGGTTGAGAAAAGAGCAGTGGAAGAGACAGGACTAAAAATAAGGCTGCAGCATAGGTCCAAGCGTGATCTTAAATGGACATTCTATGTCTGTCATGCCTGGACGTTCCAGGTGGGACTGGCCAAGGCAAGTAAGATCTGTTGGCTTAACATGGCCCTGGCGCACTGTAGTCAACTAAAGACAGAGCTGAAAAAACTTTGGATCAGATTATACAGTGGATAGAACCAGCAGAATACATGGTCTAACAAAGAATAATTGAAGGAGACTAATGTAAGCAAGGGAAGAGGGGTAAAATGCTTAAATGGTGGTCTTTGTTCTGGTAGTGGGATCAGGCTATCACAGGGCAAATGTGGGCAAGTAAGCTTTTATCTCTGTAGCATACTGAATAGATTGGAAGGATGTTAAATAGATTGGAGGAGGCTAAAGATGAAAGAAGTCTCTGAAAAGAAGTTACATGTAATAACAATAACTTACATGAATGTTACAACTCCATTTATTTTATAAAATCCTAATGATTTCAGAATCTCAGGATGATTTATGACTCTATGCTAACTTTCTGGAAATAATCAGCTATTTGAAAGTAGCACAATACATTTTTATTTCACCTTTTCACTATTCAATTGTTTTGCAAAATTCACCTTCTGCACAACCCTGTATGTGAGAGGGAACAACACTTCATCCCTGGGGATTCCTGAGGCATAAGGAAGGTACAGTGAAGAGAAACTATTTATGTATATACTCAGCTGGAAGCCTCTCTCCCCATTAATACACCCAAAGGCACATGTGTGCACAGCCAGATCTCAAGGGTCTGCACTGTATTTTATCAACTGTGTTTTGATGGTTTCAATTAGCCGTTAGCATATGCTTCATCCCAATATCAAGGACAAAATTTTTAGAAAGGAGAAGATAAATAAGAGATGAAATACTAAGGCACTCTTCGGAATGACAGAGTTGCATCTGAAATCTAACAGCACGTGTCTCCTGGCTAAGGTGATTATGATCAGTTGCTTTCCATTCCAATTAACACAACACTGGTTTTGCTTTTAGCTGATAAAAAGAAAACCAAAGAGAAAATAAATTCAATTTAGAAAGCTCACAGAAAAGCAGATCAATTTTGCACAATAAGTTGAAAACTTGTGTGTCAAGATTCACTTTGAACTCCATGTGTGCTACCTGCTGTGGAGCTGCTTAAAGCTGTCTTAGACATAAAATGGCAAAGTTTTTGGGCAACACGCTTTTTTCACTGTCCTGTGTTTTTGGGGTTTGTTTGTTTGTTTGTTTTCCTTGAAGACTTCTGGAAATGTGTAAAGAAAGACATGGAAATAAAGAAACACACTAGAGATAAGCTATTTCATTTGTTTGTGCTTTTACCTAAACACATAGTTAATAGAATACCTATTTCTTTTTATGTGACTTTTTGATCTCTTGATCTCAATGTATTTTACAAAGAAGAAAAATACTGGGGGGGATGGGAGGGAACAAAGAGTGGGGAAATGATTTTTTTCAACCAAGAGGTCAGTGACAGAGCCTGAGTCAGAGCTAAGGTCACAATGGTTCCAGTCTCATTGCCCATTTATCACCTACGCTGTATCATTCTCTCATTGTTTCAGCCTGCTTGTATATGTACCCTAAATACTTCTGCATGTGACAGCAACTGTGTTGTTGTTTTGGGTTTTTTTTTTGCAAAGGACACACTCCTGTGCTTTTTGTTAATCAGAAAGTCCTCTTTGTTTCCATCTTGTGTATAGCAGGTGAAAGCCATTAAGCCCTGTTCTGTACCTACACCGTGCAAGTCTTCAAGTGAAAATAACATCTCTAAGCAGTATAAAATCTGAAGTCTAAACACAAAAATTAATTTGTCAGTTGCAGACATAATGCAAAAAACCTCTCAACCCCTGTTCATTCTACCGAGATTTCTTGCATGGTTGTATTTAGACACAGGCAAACACCTCACTGAAACTGGGCCATAAATTCTAATCCAAAAGGTATTGGGGTTAATGTAACACCTACTTCAGCTCACCTGGGATGAACTGACTTTTTTTTTACCCACATGACTAACTTGTTTTCTGGATAAAACTCAGGCACAAGTTATTCGAACACTGAATATCGTTATTTGGTCTGTTTATTAAATTGAGAATTGTTCTATCATGTGGTGGCATTCGGTAAGCATCATATTAAAAGAAAATGGAAGATATGGTGGATTTTAGGTGAAAGAAGTTCTTTTACTTTGCTTAACAAATGTGACATATGTAAGGCATTTTGTAGCTAATTTTAACAGGCAGAAATACTTGAAGTGTATGAAGGTAGTAAAACTGATGTGTCTGTAGTTTTGAGCTGTTATTTACTGATTATATTTTTCTGGAATGTGCAAACAAAAAAAAAA